TTTCTTAGTTATCATTGGGACGGACGGACGGACGTACAAATGAACAAACAACGTTATATCGATTTAGAATTCGACACTGATTCAAATCATTTGCTTGAATCTATATCTCAGACATATTATTTCTTAGTATTATAAACGGTAAAGCAAATTTAGTATGCACTTCGACCATACGTTCGTACTGGTATAAATATTGTGTTGGTTTACTGAATAATTTCATTGTCAATGCTCTTGCATGTTAACTAAAATAATCTATTATTTTAGATTATAAATTTTTTTTTTTTGTTTCGTTTTGTTCTTATTTTCTTTTTGTTTTCATTTTATTAAATTTAAATATAATATTATTAACTCCAATATAGTAACACCCCTACACATTGACGTATCATTTTATTTAATGTGTGTTTATTTTTTTAATTTATATAAGATGTTTTGTATTTCAAGGAAACAAAAAAGGAACAAAATTACTATAAATTTTGTCTCATATTCGATTATATTCTATTTATTATTTTATATTTACATTATAATAATTTTTATAAATAAAATAAAAAAAAAAAAAATTAAATGGAAGACATTGGATATAAGAAGATTTCATAATACATGAAATGCGTTTCTATTTTTGAACATCGTGGATTATTATTTTTTTTTTTTGTGAAGTTAAAAACCCACTCTGAAATTATTATTGTATGAATATAGAAAATAAGTGATATAATTTACATATATAGCTATTTAGTTACGTGTAAGGGTAAATTGTATATTTTTTTAGCATATTCATGTAAAATAATATTGCTAATTTTTTTTTTTAAATTTTTTTAGTTTTTTATACGAACAGCAACAGAACACTATCGTTTATAAAGCGAACGAGAATTTTTAATAATATTAATGAGAAAAAAAATATCATATAATTTGATAAAAAGGATTCAAAATTTTATGCTTATCAAAATTTAAATTTGAATACCTGGAAGTCGGTACAGAAAAGTATTTTTAGTTTTTACATTAAAAATTTTCTGGAAACTTAAAAAAAATTTGATATAAAAATTAATTGAATTTTTAAAATTTTAAATTTCTAATAATTTATGATATGTTGAACAAAAGCAAGTCCGATTCAACTTAATACATAAATTTAATCTATCTGAAAGGGATGGGCAGGGCCAGGGACGGAATCTGCCAATCATGTCTGGAGGAGGATGAAACGATGCAATATTTATTGTGTTAGTTCAAAGCATTTACTCGCCTACAACTGGGATGCTTCGAGGGGGGTGGGCTTTTCGGATCCTTGGAGTGTCCGCAAAGTGGCTGCTATACAGCGGTTCGTCAGCAACCTGGGTATAGGGCTAATGTAGATGGGGATGGGAATCACAAAAGATCCTATTATGCGAACATTCTATTGAAAATTTTAATTTCCATCAAAATTTCTGAGAATTAAAATCTATATTCCATTAACTAATGCAATAAATATATTTTTTTACTTAATTCGAAATACCAACCTGTTCAAATACTTTCTTTTTCAACATTTTCTTATAAAATATACTAAAAATATTAAAAAGACAAAATGTCTTTATTTTACAATCATTTTTGTTTTGAATATACACAACATAAATTGTGTGTGTGTAGGAACGAATATGACATTTGACGAGTTATAATTCAATTATAAAATTGTTATATGAATATGCACGCACACATAAAATTCATTTAGTTTCCATGACATACCAGAGAAATAGTACCAGAGAAAAAAATACATGACTACATTGAAAATTGCAATGAATGTTCTTTTATGCATTTTAATTTTTTAACAATCTTATTAAAGTATAATAACAATAATAAAAATATATTTTATGTAATATACGTATATAAGTGTATTACAAATAATAAAATTTAAATTACACTTAATAATTTTAAAATAAAATTTTAATAATGCAATCACAAGAAGATTTTGTATTAAGAAATTTTAATTTTCATGAAATTGAAAAATAAATTTTATTAAAAAAATAATAAATTATTTATTTTTTAAAAGAGAAAATTTTATTTTAATAGTAAAATATGCATAAATTTATTAAAAATTTAAAGACTTTTTAGTCTACAAAAATTGAGAACTCACTTCGAATCATTGGAACTTTAAAATTCTGACTTGGTTATCACAAACAAATGAGATCAAAATTAGGAAATGTTGTTAAAATATTATCAAATTAAATGAGAAACTTGTTAGGATTTCTTGTAGTCAGAAGTTCATATCTGATTTTTTTTCGAATTACTGTTAACAAATATCGTTAATAATTTTATACAAAAGCAAATTAATTTTTGTGCAGGCACATATTGTCCTCTAGAAATGCAATTGTTCTTTCTTGGTATAATTTTGCAAACAAATATATTTTTAAACTCTAAATATGATTTTACAACTAAATTATTAATAAGTTTCTTCTTTCGAGGAACTGTGAACGAGCAACTAATTATACCCAGGGATATTAGTCTACATCCTTAATTTTGTAGTACAAGTTTTAATTTTTTTTTATTGAAAATTTAGTTAAATGGAAATTTTTATTTAATACTAAAAAATTCAAAATAAAGAAAAAGTTTTCAAAGTAATTAATAAATTTTCAAACAAAATTTACAAAATTAATGGAAAATTTCAAAATGAGAAACGTTAATCAAAAATTTCTTTAAGATAATTTCTGAAAATTTTAAGTAAATAGAATTGTTATTGTTTATTTGCGAGCAACTAAAACTATTACGAGTATGATAGCTTTGAACTCAATTTAGAAAATATTTTTCTCGAATAATTTTTGTATATTTAAAAGCTCATTTCGTATTATAATAAAATATGCAAAATTAAAGGAGATGAAAACAACAAATATATATATATATATATATATATATAATATATGTAATACCAAATATATATAATTCCATTACATAATTATATACTTTACTACAACAATATATTTGATTAAGTACCAAAATTTCAACTAATAAATTTGATTAACAAATGAATCCCCTATAAATATGCAATTTTTATGTACTAATAAATATTTTTAATAATAATAATAATTACTCTATGTTAACACTAATTTATAATTTAATTCATCATACAAAAGGATTAAATATTCAATAAAGTCTTTTTAAAATTGTATAATTCATTAATTATTTAAAATGATAATAATTATTAATATTTAAATAATTAAATATGAAAATCCTTCTTCTCTATAATAATAAATTGTGATCGGAAAACACGAACTAAAAATTTTGTTTCAATTATATTTGTAATAATAAAGAAAATTAATTCAATTATTAGTCAATTCTTTTTTAAATTAATTAATTACTAAATTTAAATGAATTTCAAATTTTTTTTTTTTTAATTTAACAGGAAATACAAATTATTTAAAATAATTCTATTTTGCTATATTGTAAAATTAATTTAAAAATTTGTTAAATTTTAAAATGAAATCAAAGAATTTTATTAAATTGAAGAATTAAGATGAAAATTTCGTTCATTTCTCGAATAGCTTGTTCATGTTAAATAGCTTGATATTGAATAATATCAAAATATTGTGAGTATATATCCCATATTCCATATTATCATAGAAATTATTCCATTTGCATTTATTCAATACTTACAGACTTTAAACTAGACTTGGTTTTTTGGAAAAATTCAGAATTATTTTTCATAATGAAGAAAAAATTCGATTTGGAAAATATTTTTCATAATAAAGGTACAAAATTTTTGGTTCTCGTGTTAATGGTTTAAAATTATTGGTACAAAATTTTATTTCACAAAATATTATTTATAGAGAAAATAAAAGAAAGCAAATGCCGTATGGTACAGCTAGTTAATAACCGCAAATATCAAAGCTAAATCGAAATTCATGTTTTCCTTAAATAAAATTTCTTAATCCAATGAAATTTAAGGACGATGTGAATTTCATAATAACCTAGATTTTAGACACCTACATCATATTTAGACTTTTTTTTCCAAAAATTAATGAGACCAATTTCTATTTCTCTTTGTAATAAAACTGAAAATATTTAAATAATTTTTAAAATTTTTACAAAACTTTTAATAACTTTAATATTTATTAGGAGAAATTTTTGTTTTATATTTTAATCCCAATACATAACAGGCATTTTCAGAATAAATTCTTAAAACTTTATACAAATTTAAAATTTTTGCATATTTAATAATTTTTACTTCTTTCTTTGTTATTTGTTATTTTTGGTTTTTGTTTCCTGAAACTAAAACTTTCATTTATATTTTCTTAAGCCCTATATAAAGCATTTTAAAACTACAAGACTTATTACAATAGGCGATTCGTTTATAAATAGACTAGAAGGTTATAAAATATACAATATGTTTACATTATACAAGGAGTAGGTGCAAAAATATATTCTTATACATAAATGGGTTTTATTTCTACAAAAACATTTTTATATAGAAATTATGCAAATATTCTTATACACATAGCATTATACTTGTGATTGTCTATCCAGACATAGATTTCAAAAAATTTTTATATAACTCGAGCAACAGAGTATATAGTACATTATTAAAATGAAAAGAATCCTTGAATTTTTTTTTAAAAAATTATTGTAGCTATAACCTGAGTGTATATTTCTGACTTAAAAGGCTTTACTAGAAAATATCACAAAAATGTGGGAGATTATGTTGAAACTAAAACACTTTCAACTCACAAAAGCCGAAAATTTACTGAATTTCTACTTATGATAATTTCAAGGAAAACACAAATGTCTATATTAATTGTAAGAACATGCTATTTATAACAGGAAAACGGAGCACAGTATAACGCACGATATTAAGATTTCTGAAAATATTTTTAATTTTCCACTCATGTCCTGGAATACTGGAATTATCTCTGAACTCCTGATTTAATCAACTTTTTAAGAAAACAAATAAATTTTTTTGTATTCCAAGGAAATCTGTATCTTTTTTTTTTTAAATTTGGAAGATTCGTAAATAATTAATGGAATTTTTGTTTTCTTCTATTATTTTTCAGATTTCATCTTCAGGTAAAGGTGTACTTATTACTGGTTGTGAAACTCCATTGGGCTGGTATTTGGCTAAAAAATTGGATGATATTGGTTTCACCGTTTATGCTGCTTTCAGTAACGATTTGGAAGATAATGATGAAGCACAAATTTTAAAAGAAGAAACTTCTGGACGTACAAAACTTTTACATCTTGACATTACTGATGAAACTTCTGTAAGTTGACTTTTTTTTTTAAAAATAATTTTTATCCTAAAATAATAATCTTATTATCACATTATTAAGAACGAAATAGCAATACTGGTAGTTACCAACATAAATGAAAACTCAAATTTATTCAGTAATATTGAAATTCTATTACTGAACAAGTGAAGTTGATTTTATATAGTTCCATACGTGTGTATTGACGCTTAATTATAATTTATTTTGTATGGTGAACACATGGACAATACAAGATGCTTAACAAGAAAGCTTTTAGTTTTGGAAGATTACGTTAACTGTTAACTGTCAATTTATTTTAATTAAGGACAGTTAATTTAAACAAATAGTTTTCAAAAGTCCAAAATATTTAATAATTTCTAGGTCTTAAAGCTCTAAGTAATGCTACTAATTCTTTGATTTCCAATATTGCTTTATTACAATTTTCAACTTAATACAGAATTTCATCCAAAACATTTGTGAATCTTTTAAATAAATTTTCAAACTCTTATATAAATTCACCACAAAAAAAGCTTTTTTGTTGTTGAAAACTTTGGTAATCAAATAAAATTAAGTTTATTTCAAATTCTAAAAGCTTTCAAATTTCCCAATGCTTTAATTTTTAAAGTTTTCAATGTTAAATGCATTCACAATTCAAATTTTTATTTTATATTATTGTGAATTTCATAAATAAATAAATGATTTTCTATTTGCTTTAGTTGGTAAAAGGAGCTCTTTACATTTCTCAACATTTACCATATGGTGCTGATGGTTTATGGGCTGTTGTCCATACTATTAATTGGGTTGCACTTGGTGAAATTGAATGGGTTCCATTTGCTGTATTAAGACGGTCATTGGATATTAATTTATTAGGTAACATATTTAAACTGTTATACAATATAACAGTTAATTTCATCAGAAAAATGAAATATGATGATTATTATTTCAGCAAAAAAAAAAAAAACAATCCTTTATTGAAAAGATTCTCATATTGTTTTTATTTTTAATTTAAGGCTCTGCTCGTTTGACTCAAATTTTATTGCCACTTATTCGTCGTGCCGGCGGTCGTATTGTTTTCTTAACTTCTGGTAATATTTCAATTCTATAATATAAACTGTATAAGATTTATTTCATCGGTAAATACTATAAAACTTTTGACATAAATTTATATTTTTTTTTTTGTATCAAATATAGGTTTAAATAGAATTCCAGCTCCTGTACGTGGTATTCAAAATGCAACTCATGCTGCTGTTGAAGCTTTAGCAGCATCATTAAGACAAGAATTACGTCCACGTGGTGTTGATGTATCTGTTGTTGCAGCTGGTGAATTCCAACCTGGTAATGCTTGGTTAAATGAAACTGATTTACGTGATGAAGTAAGTTTTAAAATTATAATTTTATAAATTGAATTTTGAATTGAAAAAAATTAAATTTCATAAAACGAGAAAAGGATATTCATGCTGTAGAAAATATACACAAAATTATTTACGGTATTAGAATACATAAAAAAAAGTTCACAATAATCAAATTTGGTATTTTAAGAAAATTGTGAATAATTTAAATTTTTACGTTATTCCATGTTTTCAAAACAAAAATTTCTTATATGACAATTGGTACGTTGTAAACGCGTTGTTGGTTTGAAAGAGTATTTATTGGGTTAAAAATTATTTTATTTAATTCGTTGTATTTAGGCTTCACAAGTTTAACACTAAATTACATCCTACTCTATATTATTTTTTGTTTCATTTTATCAATAAAATATTTTTATCCTTTGTAAGTTATCAAAATTTAATAAAAAATATAAACGAATTAACTAAAATATATTTGATAGTCTCAAAACACTCTTTAACATGGCACGCTGTCCATTTAAGAGATACATTTGTGAAACACTTTTTCACAACAGTTCAATTAGAAAATAACTAAACCTTTCATAAGAAATTTGACGTATTTCTAAAGGACATATTGTAGTGGAGCTAAATCGCATAACCTCAGCGACAACTTGAACGGCTCAAAATAGTGACCTGCTCATCGAATATTTGATTAATATCTGTGAAATATTAAAAATTTGAAGGTATTATTTAGGTGTCACTTCCTTAAGGGTGAAATGTAAAATCACACTGAGTTCAACTTGGCGTGGACAATACTGCAATGAATCACACCTCATATGTGATCACCTCATGTTAAAAATAATAGCACGAAAGATCGAAGAGTCAAGAAATCACCGTTTTGTTAAAACATATAACTGTGAAATTTTCAAATTTATCGAAATTTTTTTATAAAATCCAAATCTTTTACTTATCCTGAACAAAAGTAATAAGTTTAAGTTTAATACTAACAAAAGAAATGCAAATTTTCATTTTAATATAAGAAACACAGTTTTCCACCAGGATATGTTTTTGAAATGGGAGCAAAAGTAGTGCCATTTTTTAATGTGAATTTCACTTTTTATTCACGAAATAGTAATTCCAATATTTTCAAAATATAAGTGAAAACATAATATACTTTCTGATATACTAAGAGAAAATTGAAGATGGATGTAAGTATAATTAATATCTTTTATTAGCATTGGGAACAAAAACAAACGAACAGGGTAGAATAATAAATACAATGATAGCATTTTCTCAATAAACTTTAAAATATTCAATTTCCTTCTATAACTTTTTCATGCACTCATATACTACATACATACATACGTCTATAGAAAATAAAAAACAGGTGCAATATTAAAATCTAAGGTTAGTTTTATAAATAAAATTTATAATATCTCAAGTTCACTGTTTATTTGAACAAAGAAAAGGGAATAAGATTTTCAATAATGCAAAAATAATGGGTCTGTGAATATTTAAGTGCCCAAAACTTTATGCCAGCTTATTGAATTTATAATGTTATATAATGTATGTTGCAAATTTGTCCTTACTAGTAAATTTTTACTTAACAAAAAAAAAAAAGTTTTGTTAATAAAAATGTAGTTGGAATATCGATAAAATCCAACTTAAAGTAAGCTAATTGAAGAACACAATAAGAGTATCTAAATGGAATATATTTCCTATTCAAATACAGGCTAAACGAAATATCAGCCGAAAGCATTATAGTAGCTAATAGACTCAAGTATATATTTTTGATCAGCGTCGAATTCTAAGTCGATTTAACCATGTCTGTTCGTCCGTCCGTCTCAACGATAACTCAAAAACTAATTGAGCAAAGTTCACCAAATCTCTACAAATGATTTATTAAAGTAAATTCAGCAACCCTATTTAATTTTGATATGATCGAGGTTTTGGTTTGGGTGGCTGCTATACAACTTCAAAATTAATTTGACTATATTTCAAATATAATAAAAGCTATATGGTATTGAAATTTCACACAAACATATATATTACTAGGGCCGATGTGTTTGATAAAAGCCATTGAAATTGAAAGATATTGACAACACACTACTGAAATTAATTATGGTAATACGGCAGCTTAAAGTCATAGTGTCCCATAGTCAGACCATAGCTGTGGTATTAAGGATAATTCGTACAGGTATCACAGAGTTGAGAATACCATAGCTATGGTATTCAGGATAATTCATACAGGTATCACAGAGTTGACACGGTCAACCCTATTTTTTTTCTTAAATCTGTATTTTCCTTCAAAGAAAACTCATATTTATTTTCAAAGACTTTTTTATTTATAACATCAGTAGTTCAGATAAGTAAACACGAGAGTGCATTATGCACATTTAAAAAGAAAAACAAAAAAAAATACTAAATATAAAATATTTTTTATGATGAAAAAAATTCAAGGACATCTTGGCAAAAAAAAAACAACAAAAAACAGGATAATAATCTCGTATATTGCACTTTATTTAAATTTTTTATTTAGTATAAGAATACAGGAGCGCATTATCATTATCATTATTAGCATTGGGTTCCAATTTAAATTATAGCAATGGGATTTTAAACTCGAAATATCATAAATTTTATTTTTGTTTTATTTAAAAAGTATTAAAAAATTTTTATTTTATAACTTTAAATATCAAAGTTAAATAATTTTTTTTCTTGTTTAAAAAAATTATTTTATTTCACTTACACTATATTGTACATTCATAGTACGGAATTCATAAAAAACAGAAAAAAAAAACCGAAAATCAAAAAAGGATCCTTTTTGATATAAGCTTGAAAATAAAATTATTTTACTCGATTTTTCGCGCCAAAAACTTTACCTTATTCAAATATTAAAAGTAGTGTACAAACACAGGTATGAAAATTAAGAAAAAAGTTTTCATTCAATCCTATGGGAATTTTTTTACACCATTAAAATATTAAAAGAAGAAAAAATAATATTTTTTTAATGAAATTCTACTTTTTTTTTTATTTCTATGTGCATATCATGTAAAAATTATTTTTTGCATTCGGTTGCATTTAAAAAAGAAAAATTCGAAAGAATTTTAAGAAAAACAAAATTTTTAATGAAAATGCATTGAACACGAGGACATACAAAAATACTATTCGCTTGTATCAGCACTTTTTGTACTTCATCCTTTCAAATATTTTAATAAAACTTTAAAAACAAAAATGATTCTTTTATAAAATTTTTGAAAAACTTCACAATCTGCAGTAAATTTTCACATGGTTATTCATGATCAACAAATTCAAATAGCAGCTTTTATAATTAACAGAAATTAAAACACCATACAAAACCTGAACATTGTTGCAGTTATTTCAATAAATAACATTTCTATTCCACATGAAAATTCAGCTAAATACCTAGGAATGACACTAGATGCGAAATTGAGATAGAAACAGCATGTCAAGAATAAAAGATCTGAAATGAAAATTTCCCTTTCTCCACGTACAACAAAATTTTGTTCTACAATTAAATTTTAAAACCGGTCTGGGTTTACGGTATTTAGATATAGAGTTGTGAAAAACAACATCATATTACGCAATATTGCCGGCGCCTCCTGGTACGTTCGTAATACTGATACTTACAGAGATCTCAAAATTCCTCTCATTACAGATGAAATAAGGAAAAGGGCTTCACACCATAAAATTCGTCTTTCCCAACATGCCCACGAAGAGATGGCTCGTTTAGCTGACGATTAAAATTTTGTTAGGAGGCAAAAATGAACGAAACCCTTAGGATAACATCTATTACCTATCAAATATTCTCAATGGAATTTTGGTAGATCATAGAGTTCTTTAAAAAAGTTTTTTGGCCAAATTTATATTAATGATTAGTGTAATGACTAGTTTTAGTTTAAACAGCAATCGAAGGTTTTAGTGAGCTTAAAGTGGCAGAGTATTTGAACTCGCACCCCAGTAGGCGGCCACTGAATTCTCTATCGATGATTTCTTCTGATCGAAAAAAAAATTGTGGCAGTTATGGTTATGGTATCGATCCTTTAACCGAAGGGTCTTGAATTCAAACTCCGGTCTGCTCACTAAAAAATTATGTTTAACATTATCCATTCAATTCAATTTTCATACATCCATAATATTCGATATTAAACTAAGAAAAATCAACAATAAAATATCAATAATCTTAAATATTGAAGATAAAGGAAAGAACTACAGCAGGCTAGTCACCTATTTAGCTAAAATATCTATGACGCAATGAAACTGGTGGGACATGACTATATATGATAGCCCTTTGCTACTTCTGGAGTGAGTTTCAGGAAAAAAAAAACACCATACAAAAGTCGATTGCTCCATGATATACTAAAGATCTTTTAACAATTTAATAATTGAATTTCCTACTAGATATTCTAATATTCCTCTGTCAACTCAATTTTATGTGACACTACATATGTAGAGCTTTTTTTCATGTAAACTATTTTAATGTCATTCTCAAAGATTTTATTTTTAAATTTATAGGAAATCATTGTTGAAAACACTTTTTATATCAAATAGTGCTTTAAAAATTATATAATTACAATCAATGAGATTATTAAATGAAAATTTATACTCACATATAACACTATATATGTAAAATTTCAGGGAAATCGAAAAAAATGATATTGTTTTTCATTACTTATAATAAATAACGTACAAGTGGAGTTCAACATCGTTCAAAAGGATTTTATTGAATAATGCCACATTTAGATGTTCGAAATGCAAAAAAAATAATTTTTTTGTTTTTGTTCTTATTAAAATCAATATAAAATTTTTTTAAAAATAAATAATTTCCCTTAAGTATCATTAAGTATATAATACATATCAGTAAAGGATATTCAGACTCAACAACAACTACAACCGTAATATTAATATGGCGATTGATGCAAAAGCGAAATTTATAAAATATAAGACTGAGTACTACGTTTATTGGTTTTTATTATTATTGACCAGCATATTAAAAATTTAAAATCAACTTTGACTTTTTTTAATATTAA